TTATCTAGTAAGACTGCCTTAATCCATTCGACCCTTTTCCGATTTTGTATATTATTTTCTTGAAATCGATCAATGAAAGGTCCAATAAGTCGAGAGAAAATCATAAAAAAATGTTTCGATCTCTGATCTCTCCAGTTTTGGAAAAAAATAGCGGTCCTTTTGAAAGGACGGTAGTATGAAGGGCTACTAATAGAGAAATAAATGGAGATTTGAAGATATTTTGATATTATATCTCACAAAATGCTTAGCAAAATTTTATCACCTTCAGAAGTGACAAAGATGTGAGAAAATTGTCAAAAAAGAGGTGAAAGGGCAGGTAAGGCATATTTTGTAAAACATCTGCATATTGAAGAACAACTGACGCTTCCAAACCCGTGTATTGGTTTGTCTGGAATTGTTGTTGACTAACCTTGGTAGGGATCAAACATAAACAATGTACTCACATGAAATCTGTACCCCCACCTCAAAGGCTTGCCTCTAATAAATTGCTATCCCAAAAATACCGTATCATAGCCTCATCAAAGCTATGATTCTCTTCAATTGGGATAAGATCAAAAACTTCTTATTTAAACTTTTGAAAAGAGGACGCAGTTCGTACTTGTTATTTTTATCAAGGTTAGTTTGAATTGAAATCTATCTTTGGAAATAGGGGCTGATGTAAGTTTGTTGCAATTTTGCCAATAAATATTATGTCGCCTTGGAACAGTTGTATATCCACTGACAAGTTACTCACCTATGAATCAGTACATCTCGTATGAGGTAAATGTACCGGGGCGGTTTTTTTGTTCATAACTATTGCTAAAATTGACAATTTATCCTACCAATTTTTTATCGAGGTTTTTATCAAAAAACAGCTTGAACGTATACATGGGAACGATTGCTTTGTGCAGTTTCAACTGTTTGCCATTGCATAAACGTAACAAAAGTGGACAGTGGTAGATCGTAATCACTCTACCGTCGTCATCACCTTCCACGTAAAAATTTACGCGATGGCCCTCAGTTGCACTCCGGGTAAATTATTTGGAACTACATCGTCTTCAGCTCCATAATCTTCATCGGTATGGGAGTTTTCGTTGGTATTTAGGGTTGAAAAATTATAATGCCCGTAGGAATGTCCGGCGTAGAGTAATTCTTCAATTCTTCTGAGTGCTTTGCTATGGTTAGTGGCTTTTTCCAATACCTGCAAAAAAACGCATAGTAGCATATAATCATACCGTCGTTCAATTGAACGCTCCTGGGTTGATCGAGAAGTGTAAAACATAACCACAAATATAACGAAAAGTGAGTATAATATGTGATTCGTTAAAAATAATCAAAACAGCGGAAAAATAAACGACTCTCAACATGTCTTACCTTGAGTGACCGATTCCAAAATAACTAGAAACAACGTGTTTTGACCGTCACTATCGATCCAAAACTTAACAAATCCCTAACGATCGCGATTGACTTTCAATATGTCAACTATAATATAATATGTGACACTTTCAACATCTCCAAACCTTCAACTGAATCAGAAAAATATAGGTTTCATTTTAAAGTCCTTTTAAAAGGACGGTAGGTAAATGGGTTAATTAGACACATTAGAGCGCACTCTAACAAAACACCTTTCAAGTGTGATATGTGCCAAAAGAGATTCAACGAGAAAAACTTTCTGAATAATCATATGAGAGTACATACTGGCGAGAAACTGTTTGAATGTGTCGTTTGCCTGAAGAAATTCAGACAAAAATGTATTTTGGTCAGACGATGCTCTTCTGAAATGTCAAGGATTGTTCCTCCCTTGGCAGTCCCGGCGAGATTAACCCGTCGAGGTGAGGCTCCGCACCCCTTCGTGGTCACTTTGGAGACCTTCAGAACATCTCTTTCCAAAGACTCGTTCATCATATGAACAGCGAGGCTCTGGAACACATTGCCAAGATAGGTGTTCCCTGAGGCATATAACCTTCAGAAATTTAAGAAGAACACAAATTCCTACCTTATTTCCCTTGGTTCTCACGATGCTATCTGAACATTACAGGATATCCCTTTTCGTGGAAACCAGAAAATAAAAAAAAACACACCAGGGTGCATACTGGCGAGACCCCATTCCAATGTGTTGTATGTGAGAAGAAGTTCGCACAGAAGGCAATAAACCTATGAGCAATTGTAGATTGTTTTATTAGGACAAAAGTTCTAGAGAATTATTAAAACATTGGGATGATTACAAGAGATAAACATGAAACTTTATGTATTGGATCAGTCTCCCTGAGTGAAACAAGGAAAGACATTCGAGTATTTCTAAAGAAAACAGCATGAAAGAGTTTAAAACAATCGAAGTAAGTCTGATTCCTGACTTGCATTCAGACTGTTTACCTTTTATAATCATTCCAATGTTTTAATAATTCTCTAGTACTCCCACCTCTAATCGCTCTCATCCCTATGTCATGCAGAGTTCTGTAATAACCCCACCGTCAAGATGTTTTATGTCATTCTACACTTCATGTCAAGGATATTTTGATTTTCGACATCCTTTGACCCTTTAATTGCCTAGTTTTTTCCCATCCACTGTCAGAGCGATGTTGAGAAGTTTTCGAATTTTCGACTGGAGCAAAAAACTCAATTATTTCTTTAACTATGTTTTTATAATTATTTTGACAAAGGTAATCCGCATTCAATTGCGGTCCCTTCATTTCTATAAAAAAAAATTTCAATATTTTTATCGTATCTTATTGTTATTCAATAGGTGAACTATTTTTCGCAGAACAGGTGGGGATTATTCGACTTATTTCATTGTCGGAACGTTTGTCTGACGTAGCTTTTTGTTTTGTCTTTCCTATTGTAGTACTTCCTGTGACAATAATAATTGTTGCTGATAATGATGAAGCTCTGAAGCTTCGAAACATGTATATTTCCAATAGGTATTAAATAAAGTATAGTTTTGGGGGAATTGACTGTAAGATTTTCTACCTGCCCTAGAATTGAAATAGTACAAGGCTTTTTTATTATATTTGGACACACGATATACCTATATCACAACATGGTTGATTGGATGATGTAGGTAAATGAATAGGCATAAATAGGCAACGTGTAGTCTGCTATAATGTTACAGACACATTATTTTTCCAGTTTTTGATCTATTACTGTGAATCAAATATTTGTCTAAAATAGATGAAGAACAGAACTTCGCATTGGTGTATCATTGTCATAATAATTATGAACAAATATTTAGCTCAAAATCATTACCGCAAAAATGAATTCGTAGACAAGTATAGTTTTCATATATCATATATAATTCTTGTTCTCAGACGATAGTTTGCTGGGATCAACCATAAAAAATGCATAAGGATACTGGAGATATATTGTTATTGGGATACTACAATATGAGATTATTCGTACAATGGAGTTTGTCGTTTGTCTTCAGCGTCGAAAGCGGCGCGATTGTGGCGCAATTACGAGATAGATGACAAACTAACAAAAAAACATAATTAATATGCGTACATCAAGCTGTGGCGGACAACCGCGATGTCTTACGTTTTGCCGATATCGGTTTGCCGCTGTCGACACACATCCGCCACCTCCATATTTGAGGTCAGGTCTGACCAATCAAAAAGTGCATCACTTTTGTCGCCACTCTACCTAATGAAGTCACTATGTCATTCTGTCCATGTCTTCAGGGTTCCAACGTGAATGAATGAAAATTGTAGGTTATCAAAACTGAACAAGATCCGCAGTTGAGTTTGTATACACCTCATGTTTTTTAAATTTAGAAATTTCTTCTTTATTATTTTTGATAAACCTTCCTTGTTATTTGTTCTATAGGCAACTTCTGAGTTTTGTTTAGGTAGATATTGGTCAGACCGGTCAAACGTTTAATCACCGCATTGATGAACATTAGATGCATTTTTTGAAAAAAGACAAATTCAACATACCTACGCGGACCATATATCAGTAGAAAACCATAGTTTTGTAGATAATTTTGAAATTTTACACGTGGATTTTGGATCATTAAAAATCAATAAACGCAAAAATTCAAAATTTTAATTAAAGATCAAGTAGATCCCAATATTTCACCGCCATTGAATTAGTTTTCTTAGTAGGTAATTTTTGTTATCAACCCTTTAAGTTGATCCAGTGCATCGTATTTCAATGTAGATATTAGGCCCGCTTTCCGAAAATGAATGTTTGTCGTACCTTGCCACAGGTATCTCGATCCTTTGGGCTGGGAAAATAGGATATAAAAGTTTGGCAAGTCAATGTAAGTTTAGTTTATTGTACCAGTATTCCACCTGAAGAAGCTACTGTGTTAGCGAAACATGTCGTGTAATTAAGAATTTTGTGGAAATCTTATCGTTTATATGAAGTTTTTACATTTAGCTATTTTATACTTTGCAGCTGCATCGGCTGTGTCCAAATTTATCTCAATATTAGGACATGGTCCGTTAATCAACCGAGGTTACCGATGCTTTCGAGGCCGGTACCAACAATTTTGACAATGGTTATCTACTGGTGACTACGGTTGTGGTTTATTTACGGAAAGCCCGTCATTTTTCAAATTATAGTTCTGATCGGTTTTTCTCTGCCAGTATTTGATTTTCAATTATAGCACCCAAATGTTACTAATTCTTGAGCATAGTAAGCACAAGCAAAGGATGTAGTGTCCAAATAGAAAAAAACGTATCAAACTGAAATTAATTTACCTCAGCAAACGAATCCATCAAAACTTTTAAATATTGTTTTCCATTGTAATTTGTAAATGAAAGAATCAAACCGAAAACTAGAACACGTCAACGTCAACTCAAACTTACCGAACTTAATAGAGAAAATCCACGGTCGTTCTGGTAACAGTGAATCTACCGCTTTTTCAGCAACCGTGTTCCGTAAATAACCTTTTCTTCAGGAACCAACCAAACCAAGTTGATTTACCGAACATACCCACAATAATGAGTGTTCGTATGTATTTTTCTTCATTTACGAAAAATATTAACTTTCTTGCAGACTAATAGTAATTCGTTTATTCACAGGTAGTGCCGTTTATTCCTTCTTGCTTCGTCAGAGCCCCACGTGATCAGCGATACACCAAACATATACCTACTTGAAAGAAAAAACTAGATCACTGACCAGCAAACTTGATTTGAAAATGGATTCAGCTCATTGTGCTGCTGAAAATTCACGTACTGATGAGACGCAAATCACCGAGAAAGCCTTCGAATGCGATAAGTGCCTGAAAAGGTTTGCTAAAAGGGCACATTTGGCTGAACACTATATAGAACACACTGGCAAAAAACCATTCGAATGTGACGTGTGCTCGATGAAATTCAGCAAAAAGGGTAATTTGAATAAACACATCATAGGGTTCTGCAACAAGAAACGCTTCGAGTGTGAAATGTGCCAAAAGAAATTCAACTTGAAGAAGTCCCTGATCGGACACATAAGAGTGCACACTGGCGAGAAACCGTTCGAATGTGACGTATGTAAGCAGAAATTCAGCTTGAAACGTAATTTGCTTAGACACGTCGAAATGCATACCGGCGAGACCACATACCAATGTGTTGTATGCGAGAAGAAGTTCACACGGAAGAGTCATTTGACTATGCACTATAAGATACACAACGGAACCAACAAGGATATATGTGATATTTGCAAGAAACCTGTGAGCAAAAGTAATTTGCTGAATCACCGTAAGCGGATGCATAGCGGCGAGAAACCTTTTCAATGCAAATTTTGTCATAAAAAGTTCACTTTCAAATGTTATTTGCGTAGACACGTCAAACTGCACGATAATAAGAAACCTTTCAAATGTGATTTTTGTCAGCAAGAAATCATCAGTAAGAGTGATTTGACTAGGTGCATTGAAGAGCGTACTGGCAAGAATCCTTTTCCTCCTTTTCAATGTGATAGTTGCCTGGAAGAGTTCAGATTGAAAAGTGAGGTAACTAACGGAATTGCTGTCGAGGAATATGGTTTAAGCGGAAACCATTGTGAAACACAAATGAAAACTTGGATAAATAATGAATGTTGTGATGGAGTGGAGGCAAAAGTGAAAGAAGAAAACATCGAAGACACTGTTTCACCAACAGATCCTACTTTTGACAATGCATGGGTGGAAAGTGACTGTAAAATTGAGATGGCTCATCAGGATCTTGAACTGCATTTAGACATTTATGAAAATATTGTTAAAATTGAGAAGAATTCAGAGGTAGATAGTAGATTCGAATAAAATATTTTCTCAATTCACAGAAATAATATGCAGTATGATGAAAATATATGGAATAAATTAATTATTTTAAAAATGGGCAACTTTTGAGATAATCCATATGAAAAAAATCTCCTAATTGTCTATCCAACATGCAATATTATTATACAAATAATTATTCATACAGGATGAACCAGAACTGTTTATTCATTGAAATACAATGGAATTTCATGATAAATGTTGAAATTGATGACATCTAGTAATGATGCAATGTGAAAGCAGGGCAGTAGATTTATCTCTAACGTTTTCGAGAACTTCAAGGATTATTCGTTTCATCTCCAAACCCAATTATAATTGAAATTTTGATTAGTTCGGTTTCTGTTGATCTCATTGCTAGATTATAAAAGCGATTAGAATATTTTTATAACTATTCCACTCTTGATCTCGAGAACCAATCAGAATCGACCGTTTTCACGGTTTCTTCTGTATTCTAGCGATATTTTTTGTTAATTAAATTTTATCGGACTTGCTCTACCAATTCAGAAGCCGAATTGACCCACACGTGACCAACAAACCTCGTTTATCAGCGATAAAATTTTGACATCGTGTCTGTCAAGATTGCTTAGTATTCAAATCTGACACAAGAGACAATAACCTAAGTACCTACTTCATTTTATTTACTTATAATTCGCGTTAGTGAGACATTTTGTACGAAAGGCGAGACAATTTCATTCTGGCTGGACGTTTCATGTGTAATTTAATAAGTTTGCATATTTGTTGACGGTCTGACAACAATACTAGAATTCAAATTCCCATTTGAAGTAATCTTCTTCAGCCACTCAAGTTATTGTGTCCAATAAAATCCAGGTGATGTGGCTCAACTGATAGGGTTGTTGCGCGGTGATACGAAGGTCGGTGGTTCGAGCCCGTCGGCGACGATAATTTTTTTTTTAAATTATTTCATGTTACATAAATTCAATTTATTTTGTTCGAATTGGATAGCAAATGTATACACTCTTTTGAGAGCAACCATCTCCAAGATAATAAACAAAATACTGTTCATCAAAATTGTACATTCCACTTATTTGTGAATTACTAAAAGTAGGTAGTTAATTTCTGAAAATGTAAATTCTGTATTTCATTACTATCATTATGTTCTTCTTCGCAGTTCGAGTTGGAATATACTTAAATTATGTTTCCTATTTCTTATATATATTGTCTCATTCAATCATGAAATAGTCATACGAATACAACTCGTGATACTATTTTTCCTGGAAATATTTGTCGATTGACATACTCCAGCTTCCTGCTCTAATTTCGCTCATGACATTGATCCAAAACTACTCGCCTACTGCTCGTAGTTTTGATAACAATGTCATTCACGAAATTACTAGGCAACAAGCTGTCGTAACAATCACCGAATATTTCCGGCAAAATATTATCACTTGTGGTATTATATATGAAAATAATGTCAAACAATCCATGATACCTAGACTACATGACTATAATTTCAAATTAGAGTTTAGAACTTTCTCGATGAATGTATTTTTTTCTGAATAGAGGACACTACGATAATCAATTTTCGGTAGCAGACCTCTGCAAAATTCAGTTCAACACTGACCATTTCATTGTAACATTGTAACTAATACAAAATGTTGATTGACCTTGTAAATACATGTTATTAGAATGATTATACTGTTGGATAGATTATCAGTAGACCTTTCAAATGAGGTTCACATGAGCCCTGTTTGTATTTAAAAAAATTATGCCATCACCCCAATATCGATGACCTCTCATATGGACATCATGATATGGGATTAAAAATCAAAACTAACGTGTTTTCGTATTTTTTCTTCAAAAGTGACTTAGTTTAGGAATCATAGATTTATTCCATATATTTGCATTATACTGTATCAATCTGTCTAAAAATGCCTCCCGATATTTATGTGTCTTCACAAAACAGAAATTAAATCCTCAATTCACGGCAGCTTTTATAGGCTATATTCCGATTTCAACTGACAGTACTGAATCTGCTGAATTTTCATTCCGAAATCAAAAAAATTGACTGAAAGTGACAGATACTCGTGAGCAGATACACTATTCATTCCAAATATTTCGACTCAACATTCTGCTGAAATTGCTGACTATCAAAAGGTAGTGTGGCTTCAGTGAACTGTCATTATTTTTGAGGGGAAAGCAATGACACATTCATTTCCGTTGTTCTTCAAACATTAAGTCTTGGCTTATCAATAATACTGTTGATATTATAGCACCTACCTGGTGTGTATAATACGTCGAAAAATATATCGCAGACTGGTTTCGAAAGTATTTTAATATTTTTATGTGAATTGAAAGACAATCCTATTATTTTGACAATAACCATCAAACTCAAAATCGACTGTGTGTTTTTTACAGTGCCTTGACAACATGTGTATATAAAAATTGAAACTAAACAAAATATCATCAGCTCCTCTGAATGCACCGATTCTCAACATTCCTCCCACCTTGAGTCATTTCCTCGGAAGAGTATGATTCAAATATCTTCAAAAACCATACCTTGACGGAAGTTTGCTCTTTCGTCCAGTTCTTGTTATTTTGTCTTGTTTATTGATTTCGTTCTGAGGTGAGAAAGTGATACAATCACGAGCTGAAATCGAATGATCAGTATCTTCATCTTGCGAATCCATTTCTAATGGATATAATCGTTGTACGGGTCTCAGAATGTATCCAGAAGAAGTTCTCAAACGTACAACTCGTATTTCGCCATCTTTTCCTGGGAAAACTTCAACTATCTTCGCCAATGGCCAATCAATTCTTCTAGTGCAATCATTTTCTACCATAACCACATCACCGACATTCACATCGATTATTCTTGATTTCTTTTTTCGTAGTACCAGTTGTCCTAGATATTCACTTCGGAATCGTCTTCGTAGGTCTTCTCTAACTTTACATCTGTATCTGTATCTTCTTTTCAAGGAATCTGCTTCTATCAAATCCAGATCTGGAACACCAACTTCCCTTATATCCTGAAGAAACATAGCAGGAGTTAATGTTACTAGGTCTGACTCATCTTCAGAGATATAAGTGAGTGGTCTAGAATTGACACTAGATTCACAATCGCATAATACCGATGAAAGTCCTTCATATGACAAACAGGCTCTACCTAACACTTTTCTTAGGATATTTTTGATGAGGCGATCGGAATCAAACGCTCCCACCAACTGCCCCACCATGCGGCGGTCGGAACATTGAACCTCCAAGTTATCCTCTCAGCTGTGTGAAATTTTGCAATTTCGAACCAGTCCAGTGCTTTGAGAGAATTTTCTGTTCCTTTGAAGTTTGTAGCATTATCACTATATACACTGTTAAGGGTCTTCCTCTTCGAGCAACAAACCTTCGAAATGCTTGAAGAAAACTGTCTATTGATAACGAGGATACTAGTTCGAAATGCACAGCTCTGAAGATCGCAGGTAAATATACAGACCCATACCTTTTCTTTGTTTCGCAGAAAGAGGTGTCCAAACAGATATTAAATCTCAAAAACAGCCGCATCTCGTACTCGATCTTTCGGTAAGGCTACTGGCACAATTTCACATTTCTTGGCATCATATTTTCGAACATGTGCATCAAAAATCAAACGATGTACTACTGGGTATTTTCCTGGTAATAAAGCTGGGTTTCTAAATTCTTCCATATCGTTTCTCTCAGTTATTTTTGTCTTGATCCTCAAAATCCCATCTTGATCTCGAAAAGGCATCAGAGAGTTGAAACTCTCTTCTATATTGACCAAAGCATCGTGTTGGATACTCTTTATCAGAAATACTTCAGCGTCCTCTATTTCTTGTACAGATAAATCAGCCTTTTCTCGATTATAGGGGTTCAAACAGTTGAAAATGAATCTTCTGATCCACTCAATCATATTAACAATTTTATGATATTTCGAAAAATATCTAAAAATCCAGGAATTATCTTGTTTCTTCGACGAGAATAGTGCAATAACATTCTTCCTTCGTTCTTCGGATACAGAGTCTTCGTCCACTTCAATTCGTTGTGTAGGCCACTCGTTTTCTTGCCTATATAGCCAAGAAGGGCCCTCCCACCACTTTGATTGAAGTAACTGTGTTGCTGAACAGCCCCTGGATGGAAGGTCGGCAGGATTGAGAGTTCCAGGCACATGAAACCAACACTCGGCCATCGTCCACCAATATTCTAATATTGGTGGACGATGACTCGGCGTTCGAAAATCTTTTTATTTCTTGAACGTGGTTCCATACAAACGGCTTCCATCTCTCTCCCAGTTGTATCCATGCCAACACTGTAGTGGAATGTGTCCAGAAGAATATGTTAATATCATTTCTTTCGAACCAATAGAGTTTGTAAGAAAACTTCATTTTTATGGGAATGGTTTGAAAGATTCTCGGTTATGGAAACTATACATTGTGTTTCATTATCACCAGAGCACATCAAAGTGGTATGTTTGCCTCCACAAGTCTTGCACTTCAAAATTGCTGCAGTTCTACATCTTCGAGAAATGTGTCCAAATTTTAGGCAAACATTGCAACATCCTCTGTCGGAAAGAATCTTCTTGCGCTCATTCAGAGTCATCTTCACTGCTTCGGTACAATCATCACTACGATGTTCTTTTTTACCAAATACACATTTCAGAGATCTAGTGCTGACCAAGGAATGTGCGGTTGGAGTAGGGAGACTGTAATCTTCTTTCTTCTTCTGTTGTTGTTGTTGTTTCTGTAGATCAAAACTAGTTGAAGCTAGAGTGATTCTTTCTTCATTTTCAACTAGTTGATCTAATCGTTTCTTCAGACCATCATCAACAGAAAAGTGCGAACTTCTTTGCCAAATTCTCAGGCATTCTTCTGGCAAACAAGATTCGATCAAAGGATATAACATGGCAGCACATGTTTCAGAAGTTACACCAAGGGTTTCCAGAGCTCGAAGTTGCGTTTCGATCTTATCATAAAGAAAACTCAGTTTGGACTTGCCACTTAGATTATTCAGGATCAATT